GAAAGAAGAAAATGATATAGGTCAGAAACTCACATCTACATAAAGAAATGAAGAGTGTCAGAGAAGGAATAAATGAAGTAAGACAGAAGCCCAAAGTCACCTACTATTACCAAAATCAGAGGTCCATGAGGAGCTCTGCTGCTGCAGTTGCTGGAACTGCCCTGAGTAGGAACTCAGATGCTTCTGGAAGCTCCATCAGAAGCAGGAAGCAAACAAACAAACAAAAGATGGTTTCTCCTCTCTTTAATCAATCACCCATCAGTCTCCCCCAAATAACCAGAACAGTCTACCCTTTTTGCTACTCAGAACCATTCTACCGCACTTAAACTTCCTTATAGCAAGGACGACAACATCATACATAGCAACAACAGCACACAACTATTCCAATTAAGATGAAGATACCCTCACCCTTCTCCTTAAAAGAGAAGGCACAAAATCCTATCCATTTACTATATCTACACCTAGGAGATATTAATTCTGCTTCTAGTTCAGCCACAATCCCACTGAAAATATTCCTAAAGACTATATAACCTAAAGACTAAATTATAAAAATAACCTAAAGACTAAATTATAACCTAAAGACTAAATTATAAAATTAATGGCCACCAATAAAAGTGACAGATCTGTAGCTAGACTAAGAAAAAAGAGAGAGAAAATTCAAACCACCAGCAACACTCCTTATGTAAAATAAGAGACGGGAAAAATGGTTTAATATATGTAACAAGTGTTTTGGGTTGAATTGCAGCCACCAAAATATATGTTCAAATCTTGACCCTCCCCCCCCAGTGTGAATGTGACTTTATTTGGTAATAGGGTCTTTGCAGATGTAATCAGATGACAGCCTACTGGATTAGGGCAGAGCCTCAATCCAACGACTGGTGTCCTTTGAAGAAGAGAGAGATTTGGAGACACACACACACAAAGGGAAGAAGGCCATGTGTCAACAAAGGCAGAGACTGGAGTGATGCGGCTACATGACAAGGAAGGACAGGGATTGCCAGCAACCACCAGAGGCTGGGAGAGACAAGGAAAGATTCTTCCCTTAAAGCTTCAGAGGGAACGTGGCCCTGCCAACATCTTGATTTCAGATTTCTAGCCTCCGGAACTGTGAAAGAATAAATTTGTTGTTTTCAACCCCCAAAAAAGTTGTATTTGTTTTGTAATTTTTTAAAAAATTTATTTATGGAGAAGATGAGAGAAAAGTGGCTTTGGTCTCCTTTGGCTCCTACTGTGAATATGTTTACATCCGAGGAAGACAGAAGCCTTCCCAACTGCCCTCTGAGGTGGAGTAGCAGGCATGGTCCTTGCAGGGGATGAGAGGCTGGGTTCTGTCTGTAGTGAGGCGGAAGACCCTGCTAGAATACACAAGACCTTGTCCGCAGTTTGCCGTTACTTCCCTCTCCTTCCACAGTGTCTCAGTGTGGTGAGTGGTAGGGGTCAGGTGAGTGGGCACGCCTACCCCTCAATCCTCACCTGGCCTCGAGGTAGGAGCTGGGATGCACTCGGGTAGTCAGCATCCCTTCCCCTGGTTTGGCTTGACTTGGATCCTGTTTCACAAGAACTGCATTGTGTTTTTCATCCGCTAACACAGAATAATCTGACTTGGGATCAGTACACTCTTCAAATATGCATTTTGTTATCAGTAAATGTGTGGCACTGTGGCACTGTAATGTTTCAACATTTGGATGACAATGTTAAAATAGTTAAGCATATTCAGTCATCTCTACACCTTTGTCTGAACCACTAATATTTTTTTCTTTTCTCTTTTTTCCCATCTAAATTCTTTTTTTTTAACCGAGTCTCATTCTGTTGCCCTGAGCAGAGTGTCATGGTGTCAGCCTGGCTCATGGCAACCTCAAACTCTTGGACTCAAGTGATCCTCCTGTCTCAGCCTCCTGAGTAGCTGGGACTACAGGTGCATGTCACAATGCCCAGCTAATTTTTCTATTTTTTAGGTCTCACTCTCACTCAGGGTGGTCTTGAACTCCTGACCTCAAGCAATCCTCCCTCCTCAGCCTCCCAGAGTGCTAGGATTACAGGCATGAGCCACCGCTCGTGGGCCAGGCCCATTACCTATGTCAATCAGGGTCCAAGCGGGCAACAAATGACACCTGAAAGTTATGATAATTTGAGGGGGCTTGGAGGAAGAACAAGGTTTAGTGCAGAATCCTGGAACCAGTTACAGCAGAGCCCTTACCACTCCTGGGACGAAAGTTACAGAATACATTTAAATGGAAGAATATATCTTAAGACAAATATTTGGATTCTATCATGTGGTAGAGCGCAGGGTGCTAGATGCAGGAAATAGAGTAATATACACACTCTTCTCCCTCCTCGTGGGACTTTGCAAGCAGGTGGGAGAAAGCGACACTCAACGAATGACCATACAAATAAATATCGCATACAAGGGTTAAGTTCCATGAGTGAAAGGTAGAGAGGGCTATGAGAAATTCTAGCAGAGGGGCAGGACCTGGTCCCCACCCCCCAGGGAAGTGATGTTTGGGCTACGAAGGCCACTGGTGGTGGAGGAGGAGTTTCCAGCTGCAGCCAGAGTCGGCAGGGAGGGACTCACTCTTGTGGAAGTGCTGACCTTGGAAAGGACAGGGAGCATTCAAGGATCCAAGAGAAGCCCAGTTTGGCTAAAGTTCATCCCCTCAAGGGAAAGAGGAGGGGACTGAAGCTGGAAAATGGGAAAGGGCCAAATCATGCCCGGTCTTGCCATCAGACTTGGGGATTTGGAACTCCTACCAAGAGAGAAAAGTCACAGAAATACTTTAAGTGGGGATGCCAGGATCTGTCTGCGTTTTTGGAAAGATTCTTAAAGACAAGGGCTGTGTTTTGCTCATTTTCTAATCCTCCATGGTACTTTACACAAAATTTGGGCTTAACGTATTTGTTACTCTGGCTATCAATTCTGTGAGAAAGGTATTTTAGAAATTGTGTTTAAGAGTAGAAACTAAAGGAGGGAGTGTGGACTTAAATCTGGGACGAAGCAATGGTTGCTTTCCCTCAGGAAATCTGTTTTCTCTAATTACCATATGTCAGGGTCACATAAAATGAAAAAGATGCAATTGCATAAAACAACCTAACATCAGCACAGAGAAAACGTTACTTCTTACGTATACCGGTTCACACCATTAGCTATGAAATCAAACTGCCTGAATCGAACCTCGGATTACTACTTACTACCTGTGTGTTTTTGGGCAAGTTATTTAGCCCCTCTGTGCCTCAAATTTTTTTATTGGTAAAATAAGAGTACAATAATAATTGTACCTATTATATCTCTTTGTTGTGAAGATCAAATGAGAATACAAGAGAAGCATGCCACAGACTGCCTGGCACAGTTAAACGCTCAGTAAGTGGCACCTAGTACTTAATTGCTTGCAAATTTCATAGTGCACGTAAAAAGTTTGTTCCCCAACTTTAAAATAATTTGAAGTGTTCCTGTTTGTTGATTCTTAACAGTAGCTGCCGTTTATGCACTCATAATAATTATGGAATGGCAAAATGACTTTTACAGTAATGTTTAATGCATCCATTTTTAGTTAGGCTTATTACACAAATAAGAGCATGTCTCCCTAATATTAAGTTGTTTTCTAATACATTCTAGATGATGCTTTTTAGGGAATGTTTAAAGCTAACAATACATAAACCCGTGGTATATAATTTTCCTTGATTTCCAGATCAGAGAGGCATTACTGAACATGTGGAATTCATATACAGGCATGATGTTTTTGGTCCCTCCTTTTGCCCATCTCTCATAACTTACAGAAAGTTGTGTATTTTAATATATTTTCCTCCCTGCTCTTCCTCATGTGTTCATAAGTGAAAATATGCACATTTGGGCATGAACATCCACAGATATTTAATTCCGAAATTGTGAAGGTTAAATGGCATCCCTTAGCTCAGTACACAAGATATTCATTCTCTTTCCCCTCAGCTGCAAAACAAGATTCCTGATCTGTCAGTTTCATAAATCATTCTCCAACTAGCCCATGACAGACAAAAATCAAAGAACAAGTTAGCACTGAACTGGTTACAGATTAGAAATCAGGTGACAGCAGGCCCCATTGTTTCTTCCATAATATATCCCCGGAACGGGCACACTGCTGTGCTTGGGTGAGCACTCCCATACTTGTTGACAGAATTATTTTTAGAAAGTAATGTTTTCGCATTTATAAGATCCAGAGAGAGGCAGCATGATGTGTAGGCGGTAGCTCTCAGCCCTGGCTGCAGATCAAAATTACCTGTGGAGCTTTTAAAAATCTGCAGATGCCATGACCTCACTCTAGACCAATGGTTTTCAGCCTAGGATGCACATGTGAATTGCCTGGGGAGTTTTTGAAAACCAGGATGCCTGCCAGGCAGCCCCACCCCACACCAATTGCGTCAGAATCTCTGGGGGTAGGGCCCAGAGAGAGAGATTGCTTAATCAGCTGTCCAGGTGATTGTAACATATAGCCAGGCCTGAGAACCACTGCTCTAGAGAGAATGAATTCACTTACTCATTTCACAAATATTTACTGACTGCTCCTATATGCAAGGCATTGCTGGCAAAGTAGCAGTTAATATAATAAACACTTCCCCCGCTCTCCTGGGCTTAGAAATCAGAATCAGAATTTTCAGAGGTGGGGCTTAGGTAGCTGAAGCCAATGATTTTTTAAAGCTGATCAACCGAGGTTGAGAATCGAGAGGTAGTAGAAAGAGCAGAGAGTCATATAGCCATGTTTGAATCTTGGTTCCTCTGCTTATGGGCTGCTTGGTTTGGGGTACGTTATGTAACTGTTCTAAGCCTCTATTTTCTTATCTTTCAAATGGTGGAAAGCAAATCTTTCACTCTAGAGGTTATGAGTTTTAAATGAAAAAAAAATCGATAGAAATCTTGGTGCAGTAGCTAAAACCTACTAGGCATTCCATAAATGTTAGTTTTCTTCCTTCCCTCTCCCCTTCATTTCTCCTGTTGTTCTGAAAGTAACAAGTTGTGCTAAGTATGTGGGGTAGCAATTGAAGTATGAGGCTGCTGCCCCTGTTTTCCAGGAGTTACAGTGTAATAAACAATTAGACAGCAACCCCCTTGTACATAAGCTATTCCTAGGTGTGTGGTATCAGCCACGTTTATTGCTGCAGGGGTTCTGGCTGGAGAGAAATAATCACTGAGAATCGGGAGCAGGAGAAGTTTTCCTTAAGAGGAAGAAATTAAGAGGAGACTTGAAAGGTGAGTAGATTTCGCCAGGAGAAGATGGGGGTGGGGAGGTATTACAAGGTGTAGGAAACAGCATAGCAAAAGTAACTTCTAAATGATACCTGAAGACAGGTCATGTTGAAAGACAATGTATACTTTGCAAGCATTTATTTGACATGTGTCTATGCATATTATTGATCAAGAAAGTGGAGTTTACCTTTTATCAGTATTGTGTGAATAATACTGTGTGAGTTCTATATGTTTAAGAACATGAATGAGGCATATATGTCTAATGATACATGTGTTTGTTTTATATGTATATTCCTCACTGTATTAGTCAGGAAAATGTTTGCATGCCTCTATGTATTTTTACTTGCATTCTCCTGTGGGGGGGAGGGGTGGAAGAACAGGGATGGAGGGTTGGGGGGGTGCCAACATGCCTTCCTAGAAAAAGCCCACATGCCAATAAATTTTCTGAACACGCTGATGAATTTTCTGAACACATAGAACAAAGAACTGAATAAAGATGACATCATCCTCCTTAGAGTGACTTTTCATTCAGGTTATCATTGAAGTCCTGCTGGAGGTTTGTCTAGGACGGTTAGTTCCTGACCAGTTGTACACAGCAAAGGGAGTGGATGTGCTTAAGCCTGTCTGGTGCTGATTGAGGAAGGTGAGCAAGAACCTCGTAGCAGCCACCCCGCCCCAGCCCCAGCCCCAGCCCCAGCCCCAGCCCCAGCCCCAGCCCAGCCCTCCGCTGCAACGTCTGGGCCTCCTCGCAGGCTCTGTTGACTGTTGCTGACAGCGGATCCCTCCTCTGCTGACACGACTTCGAATGACCTACTTTGAAAATGGTATGAACTCGGCCGAGTGCCGAGAAGTTGGGGTGCAAACAGGTCTGCCCAGAGGGCTTCCGGCAGAAGAGAGCGGGCTCTCGGGGGTCCCTCCCGAAGCTGTGTGTATGGTTTTGTTTTGGTGGTGATTGCTCTCTTTTTTCCCCCGTCCCCAGGGCCTTGGCTGTGACAATTCATCTTTATGCTGTCGGAGTACAGGCTCCGAGATTTGCTGGGCTGCTGTGAAGTCAGCGAAAGGCAGCCAATCAGAGCAGGACTCTGCCCTGTCTCCCTGCTGCAAGCAGCCCAAGTAGTAATGAACCTGAGCGCCAGGTTGCAGGCTGAGCTCTCAGCTGCAGCCCGGAGCGCTCTTTCCAGGGCAAAGTGGGGCTGAGCAGGGGGACTTAGAGCTGAATGACAGATCAGCGGCCTCCTGGGACTGGTACCTTGGGGCTCCCACGTGGAGTCCTGGCTAAGCCTCGGCTTCCACCCAGGTCATTTTTCTCTGAGTATCTGGCTTGTAAAACCAACATGGTTGTCAATTGGGCATGGGGAAAGGGGGGGGGGGGACACGAGGGAAGAGGGGCCGCAATGTTGGGAATTACATTACCTCCACCACTGTACCTGATGACTCTAGAAAAATAATCCTTTTCTTTCCTACCTTCAAGACTGCCCACTAAAAATACAAGCCAGCTTTGAATTTAGGGAAATTATCTGAACTTGTAAATCAGCTTAAAAAGGATTTTGCAAAGCAGTGACTCTGAATTCAGAATAGATAAATTCACAGTATTTACCATCTGATAAGACTCTTCCTAAAATGCAGAGAACCCAGCTGACTTATCAACTTTTCCTTCAGGGTACTTCCAGTAGGATAATTTGTCTCTGTTGGATCAGCTTGGGCCATTATCAGATATGAGAAGAGAGAAATTTTGTTTTAACTCTTATATTTGAATCTAAAATTGAATATTCAGTATTTATATAAAAACTCCATTTAAATTATATACATAGAACATCTCACCTGTTGGTAAGAGTGCTTTCTCTTCTTGTTTATGTGGATTTTTTTGAGCCTGTAAAGACATTTTTTTTCCCTATGATTTTCCACCCTGCAGTCCTCTCAATTGCCAACGATTCCTGGGAAAACCCATCTCTTTCAGTTTTACACAACATGCTGGTCTTCTTGAGACCTCAGTTTATGGAATACAATCCATTGAGAGCTATAGAAACTTCCCTGAAAGAAAGACCCTAGCAAAATGTTACATATGGAATTATCACCCCAAACTGCTCTGTGTGATTCTTCACACAAATTCACAGTTGGTAGCACATTGGTAAATGTTGGCAAAAATGTGCAATAAGGGTTTTAAAATAGAAAAAGAGGAGCACCTTTTTTTTTTTTAACTCATCCTTCAGTGCACGGAATCCCTTCCATGCAATATAGGCTCAGTGTTGTTGGCTACTGATCTTCTCCCAGTTGTCTGATGGACAAGTTGCATGGGGGAAATGAGGAGAAAGAGCAGGAAGATGGTAGAATTAGGCATCAATTCAACACACAACAGTCGCTGGCTCTACTCATGATACAGGCCAGTTTGGATCCTTACATCATCTCTGGCAAACCATCATCCCTTTCTTCAATCCAGCTCCTTGTGGCTTTCTGGCTGACAGATGTAAAAATAGAGGCCACGATCCAGCCAACAATTTCGTATTAGCAGGATCACTCACACATGTCTCACCCTGGCAGTAGATTTTAATGTAAAAAGCTGAATGAAAGTTTTTGTGCCCAAGATTTGAGGGCTGCAAGACAACAAAAAGACCCAGACTCCTCCAATGAGACAACAGGTGAGGGGAGGCCCAAGCCCTGGGCTGAGAATGTCCTTGTGGATCCAGGAGTAGAGCCAAGTGCTGAGAAACCAAGCAGCTTAATAAAGAGAGAAGAACTTTCTATGGAAGACAGTTAGGAGGGCACATGTCTGTTAGTGTCCTAACCTGGGGAGCAATCGGAATGACCAAGAGAGGGCACTGTAGATAGATTAGCATGATGGGATGGAGAAGACTCACGTTATTGAATAGAAGTGTCCATATTTTTTCCCCAAAAGAGTTTAAAGTATCTTCTATTTTAACTTTATAGGCCAAGTAAAATGCGGCCGGCTTTGTGAAGTTGTCTTTCATTGTTATCTAATATTTATTAACTTATTAAACACCTGGATGCATCTGATACTGTGTGGTATGTTTCTCAAAAGAGTTAGGCAGGCCCCAGGCCTGGTGGCTCACACCTATAATCTCAGGACTTTGGGAGGCTGAGGCAGGAGGATCACTTGAGGTCAGTTGAAGACCAGCCTGGGAAACATAGCAAGACCCCATCCTTGCAAAAATTAAAATTAAAATAATTAGCTGGCCATGGTGGCATGTACCTGTAGTCCCAGCTACTTAGGAGGCTGAGGCTGGAGGATTGCTTGAGCCCTGAAGTTGGAGGTTACAGTGAGCTATGATCATGCCACTGCATGGCAGCCTGGACAACAGAGTCAGGCCCTGTCAAAGAAAAGAAAAGAAGAGAGGAGAGGAGAGGAGAGGAGAGGAGAGGAGAGGAGAGAGAGAGAGGAGAGGAGAGGAGAGGAGAGGAGAGGAGAGGAGAAGAGAGGAGGAAGGAGGAAAGGAAAGGAAAAAAGAAGGAAAGGAAAGGAAGAAGGAAAGGAGAAGAAAGAAAGGAAGAAAGGAAGGAAGAGGAAGGAAGGAAGGAAGGAAGGAAGGAAGGAAGGAAGGAAGGAAGGAAGGAAGGAATTAGGTAGCCCTAAGGGAATATATAAAAGCAAATAAACAGGAGAAAGCCTCTTTGTGCAGTTCATGGTAATGCTACATCTTCCTCCTTTCCCCAGTGAAGTGTTTTAACTGTTTCTATTCAGAACAGCTGTTTTAGCTTTCACTGGACTAGCCACGGAATAATGTATACAAAGAGGAAGGGGAGAAGGTTGGGATGCCATGGGATGCTGGGCATGCCACGCCGTGCACCTGTTTCCTCCCTCATGAAGAGACCATCCACCTGCAGCTGAAAACTGCTCACCTTCTGTTTTCTCCTCTGTCCTGGAGTTTTTCAAAGTTTTGAGGAAAGACATCAGGACTGGGGGTTCACAAATGGCCTGCTGGACCCCATCTGGTGTCCGTGTCGTGGTGTGGCCTGCTCTGGGACTCTAGCTCCTGCTCCCCCTGTCCCTCTCTGTCCTACACACAACCTATTTAAAGAATCCTGTTGAATTATGTGGTAACAAAAGGAAATATTACAAGACAGACACAGAAGGAAAAAAATTGTCATCAGAGATCATAGTGATTGGGAAAGAACAGGACTCATTACATCAGGAACATTACACCAACTCCAGGAGAAGGCTTCGATTCAGATAAAACACTGTGATCAGGAAGAAGATGATTCTAACTTAATGTCTGGGGTACGGATTTCATGAAGCCTTCCAAAGCAATAAGCGAACACATCTGAAGCATGTTTGGGGGAAAGGTTGTAATTAGATTTTGTTTTGTGGTCTTCCACACAAGGAAGCTTATTAGTAGAAAGACAATATAATGTCAGATTTTCTCTAACATGTACAAACATAATATGTCATGACATCTAGAGCCCAGGAATATGCATAAGGTAAGGTTGGAAGCTATACCCAATGCATACAAATAGGAAAAACATGTCGACGTTGTGAAGTCTCATTCACAAAGGAAAGCATAATGGACTAAAAATATCAACTAATGCTCAGAAAGGACTTTATATTTGCTGGTAACAGAGCTATGATTTAGCAAAGATTTATCTCTTTTTTGTTTTCATGATTGTTAGTGGTGAGAACTGATCTATGTGTTTCAAAGATCTATACTGCATCACTGTTGGAAGGATGTCCATTTCATTTAAGAGAGAGTAAAAAATAAGCCAGAGCCTGGTCACCAGATACGCGAGCTGCAGGAAAGTGATTTTCTTCTTTAGATTCTGTGCTGAGTTCTGTGGGCACCCTGCATTAATATGAAATTAACAACACACTACTCACATAGAACTTTGCGTCTAAAAAAAGCTCACATTATGCTTTAAGCCTTTTATTACAAAATAATAGAAGTCATGAGGTTAAAGTTTGTTCATACAGTTTTCTCTGGAACAGCTGTACAATTTTATATGGGGGATGAAAGTATATTCCATGTGGATCTTTGTCAATTGAAAATGCAGTG